GAATTGCGACGGAACTGGTGGGAATTACGTTGGGGGTGTTTTCGCGCGACATGGGGACAAATCAAAACATGTTCATGAATTAAATGAATCTTGTTTACTTGGATTTGAATTTTTCTCTCACAATACAAATAATTGTATACATCGTCGTATAAATAAATTCTCCCGTTGCTGTCCTCGTGGAGTTCTTTTTTCTGCCGCCGAATCCGACACTCAGGAAATGAGCGCCATTTTCAAGAACGGGTGTCATGTCGATCGCATCCCCAGCACATGATGCGGCCATGGCGGTGCTCGCCGAGATGTTTCCGAGTGTTCCGATTGACAAGATGTATGCTGCATTGTCTAGCGTCCACGGTGATTTGGATGCCGCAATAGACAGCCTGCTGAAACCCCAACGATCCAAACGCAAGTGCTACCCTGATATCCGAGCATTCTTTCAGCAACCCATCGGCGCAGTTCCGCCACCAAAGAAACGCCACATCCACACGAGCTTACCTGCTGAATTTGTGCCGTCCGAGGACAAGAATGTGGTCATGGCGTCGTTTTCCCAGTGGGATCCGACAAAGGACCCGCAGAAACCCAAACTGCTCACAAGTCAGACGCTCAGTCAGCACGTGCCATGTCTGTCGCTTCAACTCAACTTCCTGTCGCACGGCCAAGCCGATAGCCTGTTGCATGAGATGTTGACCACCTCCACCGACTGGGTTCGAACAAAGTGGGTCATAGTCGATCGTGGTAGGTCTCCAAACGTGCGCGTCCCATTTTCTCATGGTTGCGTTGCGTCGTGCTGTAGAAGTCGAATCCCCGCACCATACGCAGCTGTACGGTGTAAACGAAGAACAGCTCGCACGGAAAGCCGACTTGTACGCCAACACTGGCACCGCGGCCACCAAGATGAAGGTTTTCCCGCCAGTGCTGCAATCGATCACAGGCGAGATTGAAGCCACAGTGAACCAAGCGCTGGTCACACGTACAAGGCACCCACTCGAAGCGCCAGGGCCGTGGGTTGCCAACATCGCGCTGGGCAACGTCTACCGCACCTCACACGAAAGCGTGGGTTCGCATTCAGACACAATGACCGAATTGGGCCCTCGGCCAACGATCGCGTCGCTGACGCTCGGAGCCGAGCGGATCTTTCGCATCAAGCGCCTTGCGACAGACACGATGCCCGCGCAAACGTTCAACGTCCAACTGCCCCACAATTCGCTCTTGATTATGTTTCCTCCCTTCCAAGTACGATGCGCGCTCCGATTCAATTTGCGTGTTGCTGACATTGCTTCTTGTTGCAGGAGTTTTACCGCCACGAAGTTCCGCCGCAACAGCCGTGGCAAGTAAAGGCGCATCCCGTTGCCCGCGAGACTCGCGTGAACATTACGTTTCGCATGATGCGGTCCAACTACGTTCGCCACATGCCGCGATGCCATTGTGGAAAAGTCGCTGTCCTTCGCACAGCCAACCGGCCAGCAAAGCGCCATGTTGGCGAATACTTCTACATGTGCGCTGGGTCTGTCCCTACCTCGTGCACATACTTTTGCTGGCTTCGTGACCGTCTCCCGCTCTTACAGGGAGACAACGACACGGATGCAGCGCCATTTGATAGCAACGTTCCCAACTCGTAAGCGACGCATCCACAGTGCTCGATTCGACCAGGCGTGCTTCAAACATCACTGGCAATCGATTCGACATCGTCGGAAGGCGGCGTGAAACACCTGGAGCGTCGACGTTAGCTGGTGGCCCTTCGTCGTCGCCTCCTGGAGTCTTTCTGAGCCAACGCTGTCTGTAGTTTTGTGTTTGGTGTACCCACCTTCGAGCGGAACGATGCCCGCACCCTGTGCTAGTATCGAGCCATGGCCTCGAACGAGCCCATATCTGGCGCGAACGATTCGGACGACATTCGTTGCAAAGTTCGTCGGAACATGCGATAGCAGCTAGCGGCGTGGATATCGATGACAACGTCATGTTGCTAGCAAACCCCTGCGACGCGCATGGTGTTGGACGACTCTTGTCCTGTGACGCGGTGCGATCGATTCGAATTGGGACGACCTTTGGTGACCCTTCGTCTCGCTGCCGACGTCGGAACATAAAGTACCCGCGACCTTGCTTCTCTGTCGGCAGCGGCGGCGAACAGTTCAGTGGAGAGGTACAACACGTCACTCGAAGTTGCAGTGACGTTTGAGGCCCAAGAACATGACGCACGAGGTGGACCGACCGGCGCACCCGCTGGTCCATCTCCATGGAGTTTTGCCTCCGTTGGCCGATTCTCGGAATCTATCGAACCGACAGAGTTGGAACGATCGAATGCGATGGGCGTGTTCGCAAAAACAGCCCTATGCACCGACGACAATCTCGCCCCCGTCAGAAGATGCACGCGTGCCCCACACCCGCATTCCACCTCCATGACACGATTCATTCTCACTCGTCCATTGGCCCCCTGGACACTTGCGCGCCCGTGGAAGTTCCCCCGTTCAAATCTCCCAAACTGCGCCGAGCTCGCCCCCTCCTCGACTCCGCCGTCGTCTCTTTGGGGGGCAAACAAGCGCTTGCCACTTGGCGCACGATCTGTCAAGTCAGTCGCCATTCCATCCGCCGCCCATCGCCTCTCCGATGTGCCCTGGAACGACGCGAGCAGCTGGTTCGTCGCCATCGCCAATCGTGGCTGGCCATCAAGATGTGTTGCGGGTGGGATGCGACGTCCATAAATCCCATGGAACTTGAAGTTTGTATGGAGTGGCACTCCCTTGGAATAAAAGTGCAACTTGAACTTTCACGGGCCACCATCCAACAACACCATCACAACTCAATTTGCTCGCACGTGGTGTGTGTGCCATGTCCGAAGATGCCCGTGTTGTTCGCTTGCCCCTCAAGTATGGAGGGGCGGAAGACTTGCAAGTGAGCCCTCGCCACGCCCGCCAAAGCCGATGGGTGTGGATTGCAGGGGGGGTGTTCGTCGCCGCCAATGTTGTCGTCCTCGGCAGCATCATCATCGTTGGGAAAAGCGTGAGCGACTCGTTGACCCATATCAAGACGGTCGAGTCCCAGCAAGCGGTGCAAGCGTTGAGCGCGTTCAACTTGCCATCCAAGTTTGCTGTCCAGCACGTCACACCACGTCAAGACCAAGCCCAACGCGGCACGTGCTGGGACTTTGCCACGATTTCCTACCTGGAATGGTCGTACCGCGCGAACGGGGTCGCGAATGGATGGCTCAAGGACGAAGAGTACGTTGCGTTTTCCGAGCAGGTGCGTCCATGTGCCGTAGCCCGGGGTTCTCATCGAAAGAGATGTAGGCGTACGGGATTGAAATCATGCGGCTGTGCACTGGCCCAGAAGGGTCGCCACAGCAAACGGCGTGCCGTGTCGCCGGCGACTTTGTGAGTTTTCGTTTGACGGGAATTTTCGTTGTCACGACTGAAACATACAGATCTGGAACCACACGACCGAGGGCGGCGAAGACTACGACCTGTACTACCTCCGCGATGGCCTCAAGAACTCGGTGCTGCCCACGGCCGTGTGCCCGTACTTTAAGAAAGGCAACGAGGACGTGTGCCCTGGTCTTGATGCGGCACTCGAACACAACCCGGTCCAGTTTCAAGTCAAGGTAACGCGCCGCCCCACCAACCTTTTAACGCCATGACGGTCGTGTGCGTGCTGTGCAGAACATCTCGACCTTCTACGACGGCCCGACGATTAAGCTCGAGCTGTTTTCGAAAAACAAGGCGCTCTCGATCGGGACCCCCGTCTTGAGTGTGTCGCACTACTACCCGTGCATCGGCCCATTCCTGAGCGACCCCAACTGCCAAAAGGACAAGGACACGTGCACGCTGTGCCCGTCCGACTTGTCCCAGACAACGTGCTGCATCCCGTCGCACGGAGGGCACAACCCCAACATGGAAGGCGAATTCTTTGCGCACAGCCGCATGTCGTTATCTGGTGGTCATGCCATGGTACGCCCACACAATCCCCATTGCAACGATGGTTCACGGAGCGTCGTGCAGCACCTCGTTGGGTACAACGATGCGTTCGAAAACCACGAAGGCGAAGTCGGCGGGTTCATCCTCAAGAACTCGTGGGCAGACTCGCAAACGCGCGGCAGCCACACGTTGAAGTGGTGGCTCCAAGAGATCTCGGACTGGGAAGAGCGCACGATCTGCCCCAACAGCTACAAGTACCCTGTTCTGCGATCACGTTGCCGTGCTAACGTGGTCGATGTCTAGCCCGACCAACTGGTACGCGTGCGGCGGGACAGACGACAACGCGGACTTGGTGTCGCCAACAAACGCGACGGAGAAGGTCGTGTTCAACAAGGGAGTCGAGGACTGCTTGTCCAACACAACGCGCATGTTTGCCAAGACGATGGTCCAGACGCTCGAGCTCAAGTGCTCGGACGCGACCAAGTGCACCGTGAGCGACGACGTGACGTATTACGTGCGCAACACGACCGACTGGGGCGACCGTATGACGCTCATGTGCGTTTGGGAACACAACGTCAAGGTCGGGTCGGCGCGGGACTTTTGTTTGATTCCGATGCTCGAGCAGAACCTGGCGGCCACGTTCAAGTACGTCGTTCGCCGCTCATTTTGGAACGTCACGTTGGGTGTAGGCCAAAAGTCGCGCTCGCCAACGACGTGGACCGGTGCGGGTTTTACTTTTTCTCGTACGAAGCAGGTGCGGCGACGATTTGCCGACATGGACGGCTCATGGTGGCATGTCGTAGCTCGCCGGTACTTGGCTCAGTTTGGCAATTTCTTTGTCAATGGGTACGACATTGAGTGGAACCCGAGCTCGTACTTGGCCAACGCGGACAAGTTTCCCACGCTCAACTACACGCTGCTGCAGCAGTCGACGTTCCGCCAGAACAAGGACGACTTTGTCGGCCCGCACCCGTATGCCAAAGCGATTGCGTCGGCTCCTTGACGTCGTCGCTGCTGCACACACTCCATGCTCTTGGAGCTGTCGTCGCGATTGTAAATAGCGCTGAGATGGATTTGAATGAAAGCCCGCCGTGTGTTGGCGATCCATTCTGTGATACCGTTGGCTTGCGATGCCGCACAAGATATAACATCGTCGACGATGGCGGGTTCTCTAGCGCGACAAGCCTAGTTTCGGTGGTCGAAGAGCTACCTGGCCACAGGATGTTGGTGCGGCCCGGCCACGACGCCATGCCCATCGATCCAAAACTTGTGGTGCAAGTTGAACTTGGCAAGTTCAAGGGCAGGATCCAACAACGCGGAAGTGGCCAACGGCAGCGGCACACGACCCACCCACCGCCCTGCTCCTTTGCCGACCATGCCATTCAACGGATCGCGGCAAGCCGCTCATCGCACCGTCGAGTTGGTCCACAATCACGACTCGCTAGGTGTGGGTCAGTGACGAGTTTATCAATGCCGCATTGGGTAGCATGGCCATATTGTCGCCGAGTCGGAGATGGATTCGCTGGCGCACATCCAAGCGATCGAAGCCAGAGTATCGACCCCAAGTGCCATCGGTCGCCACCCGACTCATGTCCCAGGTTGCCGTGCAGCACGTGGTCCTTCGACACGACCCATCCGACATATTGGGACTTTGCTACACTTTCCATCCTCTTGGAGCGATCGAACGGCGTGCGCCGAGGGTGGCTGCAAGAACACGAGTGCGTTGCGCTGTCGAAGCAGGTACGCAAGTGGCTGCGCATGAGTCGTCGCAAGGCGAACGGGATCGAAGTCATGGCCACGCCCCGCTTGCCGAGTTTACCGTGACTGCACAAGTACAAAGGAGTGTCACCATAGCAGGGTCGGCCCTTGTACTGCACCTAGGTGTCCAACTGCTTGACAGAAGGCGGCGAGGCGGACGGCCTGTACCACCTCCGCGACTGCCTCAAGAATTCGGTGCTGCCCACGGCCATGTGCCCATACTTAAAGCTGGGCCACGAACAGGCACCCGTCCGTCCTCAAGTTCTTGAGGCATGCCACATGCTACGGCGACCGCACGATCAAGCAGCACCTGTTTGTCCAACATAATGCCATGGCCCTGGCAACGCCGATGGCGAGGGTGCCGCGCATTTGTTTCCGTGCATTGGCCCATTCCTGAGCGACCGCCACAGCCAAACGGACAAGAACACGCGCATGCTGTGTCCGTCCGACGTGACGATGTGCTGCTTCCTCTCGCATGGTCGCCACGACATGGAAGGCGAATGCTTTGCCGTACCCTGCGACGCCTAAACGCGATTCAACGTATTGTGCCCTAACGGAGACTCATATCGCAGCACGTCGTCGGGTACAACGATGCGTTCCAAAACGGCAAAGGCAAAGACGGCGGGTTCATCGTCAAGTACTCGTGTGTGCAGGCCGAAAGTTGCCGCTGCAGGTTCAACTGTTTCTCGTACGAAGCTTGTAGGTCCTCGACTTCTTGCCAGGACACCACGACGGTCTCACGTCGTCGCATGTCGTCAGTTCCTAGCACACGTTGGGCAGTTCCTTTTTCAAACGCTCTGACGTCGAGTGGAGCCCGTACTTGGCCTACGCTGACAAGTTTTCCCACGTTCGACGACACGTTGCTGCACCAGTCGACGTACTGTCGCAACAAGGACGCCTTTCTGTCTGCGTCCGATTGCCACACTCGCATCACGCGTTGGGCGTGGCGGACAGTCCATGCTCGAGGGAGGGCGATCCATCCACTCAACTCGAAGTGCCGATGTTTCCCTGCGCAGTCCATCGTGGGAACCAGTCGTCCTTGATGATGTGTTCACGCCATCCATGGTGGACTTGTAGAGAGGTCGTTCCAGGTGTAACTGGTGCAACAAACCGTTACGTTTTAAACTCCATACGCGGCCATGCCGCACCGTCCTGACCCAACGTCGCCATTATCGTACCCACGCTTGACAAAGCATGCGTCGGTGCGAGGCGACCCACCCACGTCATCGTACGATTCTTCTTGGCTGCTTCGGCTTTCAAGACCAGAGCGGTGTTTGTCGTGTAGGGAACGCTCCCCAGCCGTCACATTTGCCGCGCAATCCCATTCGATCAAGCATATTTGGTGGTCGGCAAAACACAAAACAGAGCACCTTTTCACGTCGTTTTATGCCCATAATCCGCAAGCCCTCGCGCGCGCGACCCCAGTTGCACGAGATGTCGAGGCGGCGGAGCTCGGGACGTTGTACCGACATCGCCAGCTCGAGATGCTTCGCGGTCCTGCCACGTCCTTTGCCACAACCAGTATTCACGACGAATCGTTTGCATTGGTTCCGACGTCGCGCTTGGCAAAACTCGAAAGACTCGAGCAGTATTTGAAAGCCGAGCAAGCGCGGCTGGAAGCCCAATGCGTCTGGGCATTCCAGGATACGCCCGTCAGCGCAAGGTAGGCTCGGCGGATGCGCGATGTCCAAACCGTCGTTCCTTTTAGGTTGCCCGTTCAGTTTATCGTTGTGGCTGTGCATTCGATTTTGGACAAGGCGATCGCCGACAGCGCCATGACATGGGCGGTTCACAGGAATGCCCGATGCGTGCTACCGGACGGTCTTGCGACAGCCATTGCCCACACAACGCAGCACCTTAGCCACTGCGACCACGTCCACCGCATCAACAAATCTCTCCGACTGCCCAACCGACCCCACCATCGATTGCACGCACTGCTGACGACACAATCGAACCTCCATCAGCTCCATCGGCAAGCCACCGAATACCACGAACGCTTTGACATGGCGCGAGAAGAAAAGCTCCAGCGAATGCACCATCAATGGAGTATTGTTAACGACCGCAAGGCAGATTACACAAAGTACGTTGACCTGGCGCTCCAGTTTCAGCCACTATCGGAAGCCGACTTCAATGCCACCGCATGGCCTGGACACTTTTATGAGGTAGGCTGCCCATTGCCCCCCTCTTTCATCCACGTTTTTGCTCACATGTCCATCAGCTGCGGCTACGAGGAAGCTGCCACCGCATCGAGCGATTCATCCATCGTCATGGCCCTCGTCGACGTGCCAAAAAGTTCTCAGCAGCTCGCACAATTCAGTCGTTGGTGCGCGGGTTCAAAGCTCGGCGACGGTACCGGCCAGCGATGATGTTTCGTCGGCGAACATGGCACAACTTCATGCGCCACACGTTTGTGGCCTGGCGCGGTTGGACAACAAAGGCGGCGAAAGCGAAGCGAATTCTACGCACAGCTCTCGCGTCCCGCCAAGCGACTTGTTTTGGGCGCTGGGTCGAATTTGTCCGTGTAGTCCGCGCGGAAAAGGAGCGCAAAGTTCGTGGAGCGCTCGCCCAGTTGCTGTACAATCGAACTGAGTCCGTGCTGCGTTCGTGGCGGGGATATGCCAGTCGAATGAAGAGCGTTCGCCGTATGAACAGGCGGACGGTGGCGACCAATCGCGGATATTACTTTTACACGTGGCGCGCGGCAGCAACAGCAGTGGTCCTGGGCCGCCTGCAACAACGCTGTGCCGTGAAAGTGCAGGCAGTGTGGCGCCGGCTCCTCGCTACCCGCGAGACGCAGCATAGGTCAGAGCACTTGGACATTTTTCACCTTGCGCTCGACCGTGGCGCTCAATGCAATTTTGGCACTTTATGGCGACTTGGCGTTGAATTCACTCCATTCTCTGCGTAGACGTACGTCGTACAACAAGGCTGCGGTTCACATACAAGCTGTGGCTCGTGGCCGGTGTCGGAGGCGGCAGCCAGTGCCTCCCAATCGAAAAGAAGAGATTCGTCGAGCGGCTTTTCTCGGCTTTGCCCAATCTCTAGCTTACAACGTGGCCGTGGCCTGTGAAGTCCGACGGCGCAAGGCAGAAAACGATGTGGTGAAGCTCACAGAAACTAGTGCGATCAACGCGCTCAAAGAAGCCCAGGCGTCCAAGGAAGGCGAGATGCAGTTAGCCAGGTTGGCCGCGGCAGAGCGCGCCCGTCATGTAACTGGCACACACGCAGTGTTCTTGCGAACGTACGACATGACGAAAGCCGAGGCTATGGCTGTTGTGGCCCAGCGCCAAGTCGATAAAGCGTTGGCAGATGCCGAGCAACTGGCGCGTCAAATGTTTCGACTGCAGCGGCCACCACCATTTGAGTGCATTCATCCAAGTCACTTGGACGCGAGCTTTGCCACAGCAGATGAATTCCTCTCCCATTCATGCTGCCCCATGACACCCGAGCAACGACTGACCTACGTCATGGTTTGCGACGGGAAAGTGGCTGGTGGCGACAGTGTCAAGTTGGTGCTTCGCCTGTGGAGCACAGCGCATTGCGTGTTGGCCATGACAGACTCTGATGCGCCTGGTGAGCAAGTTGCGACCGACGTCGCACTTTTGCCGCTGCCACCTTCGTCAAGAAGAGATGATGTCGGCTCGACTGAGGCTTTGACGAGAGCTTTGATTGGAATGAAAAAGTGGTTTGCAGTGGCAACGCTTTCATCCATATCCACCACCAGTTCAAAGCTTGAGCGCATTCGACTCGCGGCTGAGCTTCGATGGCAAGTGTTACTTTGGATTTCGTCGAACGCGTCTCTCGAAAGGGGATTATTGGACAGCGTGCCGTACCCTCCACCACTTGACCGGAACTCGTGGCACTCGCTGCACTATGACCACGCGAACAAGTCATTCTTTATGCGTTGGGCAAGCCTACAGCACAAGAAGTTGCTGCCGCATTTCCAGCGAGACGCCGCAGCAATGCTCCTTGGCGTGGGGGTCGCAGCTCAAGATGTCGTGGTGAAAAGACTGCGGGCAATGCATGGCTTGCGCCAGCGAGCATCTCGCGGGTACATTCATCTCGTGGAGAAGCGCGCTGTATTGCATGTTGTGAAGCGTTTCCACGCACGGAATGGGCTCTGGAGTTTGGCAACGCAAGCAGTCGAAGCGCTGCGTGCTTGGCGTAAAGCACTGACAGAACTCCATGCAAGATGCCAACACGCCGCTGCGCGAGTAGACGTGGCGGCATGGCTCTGTGTCTATCCATCGATGTCTCTCATGGTGAGTGGAATCCATCAATGCGCCGTGTGGAACCTTCGGCGACAAGTCGCAGCGGCGTTCCTGCTGGACGTGGCAGCGCGAGCCCACAACCTGACGGTTCCAGATACGGATAAATCGGATAATTCAAACTAAGTTATCCGGTCACTTGGATTTCGGTCACCATGTTGGACAAGAAGGACGTCCACCCTACGGCGTTGCCGTCGACGACTTGGATCTTTGGGCTATTCTGCTTGATCAATCTGCTCAACTTTGTGGACCGCGGGATCATCCCTGGTGCGCCGACGCAATTCCAATTCTTTATCAAGGAGACGTTGCACGTCGCAGTGGGGGACGAGAGCAAATACCTTGGGCTCCTCGCGTCGTCGTTCATTGCGAGTTACGCTGGGTTCATCCTTCTCTTCGGGTACCTCTCAATCTTTATGAAACCATTTCACCTCGTTGCCATGGGCCTCTTTGTGTGGTGCTTGGCAGTCGTCGTGTGTGGATCGGCCAAGCCTGCCAACAGCTTCTACGTGCTGTTGTTTGGCCGCATCATCAGCGGCATCGGCGAGTCGTCCTTCCAGTGCATAGCTCCACCGTTCATCGACGACCACGCGCCACCCGCCCAGCGCACGCTCTGGCTTGGCGTGTTCTTCTCGTGCATCTCAGTCGGCACAGCTGTCGGGTACGAGTACGGAGCCCTGATGGCGAATTCCGCGTGGGGATGGGGATGGGCATTTCACTTGGAGGCGATCATGATGGCGCCGTTGGTACTCGCATGCGCATTCTGCATCCCTGACATGTACAACCGAGCGAGCCAGGATCACCACCACCACCACCACGTTCCCCTCCCAACCGACGACACGGAGGACGACCCAAACATCGACGACGACAGCCTCGTCAAGCCGACACAGAACCCTTTGGCTCCAATGCATGACCGCCAATCTTTCGTCATGGAAGTATGGGCAGTCGTCAACAATGCAGTGTTTATGCTCACTGTGTTTGGCACCGCCGCGTTCACGTTTTCCCTTGCAGGGCTCAGCGTGTTTGGCCCCATGTTCCTGATTGGGCTCGGACTGTTCGAGAAGGAGACAGAAGCGTCGATGGTGTTTGGGTCCGTCGTCGGTGAGCCATCTATCTTGGAGGTGTGTAGCTCACGCCGACGTGGTAGTGGTCAGCGGGATGATCGGGACGCCTCTAGGAGGTCTCGTTCTCGACTGGTCGTGTCGATCCCGGCCCCCCTTGCGACAATACATCGCGCTACGCCAAGTGTTTCTCGGCATGTCGATTGGCACGGCGCTGTCCCTGGTTGCGTGGTGCATGCTCCCAAACAAGTGGGGGTTCCTGCTTTGCTTTGGCCTCGCGTTGTGCTTTCTATTTGCCACGACGTCGTCCAACGCAATTGTGATCCTTCTCTGCGTGGACCCGACGAGGCGATCTCTGGCCGTGGGGGTCAACACCCTGTTGTTGCATTTGCTGGGAGACGTCCCGTCCCCAATTATCCTCGGAGCGCTCAAGGACGCGTGGGCGCCGGACTGTGGCTCGATTGAACGAGATGGAGCAATTGTGCTCAATCCGGACTGCGCCAAAGACTTCCACGGTCTCCTCCTCTCGCTCCTCTTTCCTCTGCTGTGGATGCTTTGGTCCGTCGTGTCGTACGGTGCAGCCGCGTTCGTTGTCCAGAGGCGGCTTCGGCTGCAAGGCCACGACGTGTAATCGACGAAAACATCCATTGCTTCCACACTTCGAGCGACTGCACAAATCTTGGCGCGAGTGCGTTTGCAATTAGGATAACCAGTGTCGAGACACAACGCACGTAAAAACGAGTGGACCTGTCACCGCAGGGGAACCAAAACGAAGCAGCCTAAACCTTCCTACCACTTCGACAGCCCGAGCCATTCACACGAGAGCATGGCTCGAGGTTGTTGTACTTACAAGTGAAGCAGCTCTTCGTCAAATCAACCTCACCATGGTTGCGGCATAAGTCAAACGTGTGGACCATGGTTGGGCCCTGAAAGCTCGAGTGACGAGCAACCCTCACCAGTCCATCGTGGTCTCGTGGGTTACATGACGAGCTCCACGATGCCAAAGTTGTCTGCTTTAGTCAACGAAAGGCCGCCTTCCACTCGCGCACGGACAAGAGACCGTGGAATCACCACTGGGTATGGAATCCACGTTGTTTTGTTCAACCTGCACGTACTCGCGCCATCTTGACACCAGGACACCTCTGAATTTGGCACTTGTACGAGCTGCAAGGACGACGGAGTACTCCCCTATGGCACATGCGCATTGGGCCATTGTGGCGAATGAGTGTCGATAACACCGTACGACTGGTAACCCCTTCAATAACAACAAAGACGACGCGACAGCGCCAAGCGCTTATATACGTAGGTAGAATGGGTGCTCAAGGCCGACTCAACCTTCACGACTGATCGCCGCACGGACAGTCCAGCAGCAAAACAGTGTGGCGTTTATGCTGGCCGTAGTGGTGGCGCTCGTCGGGGCGCTACTCGATGTCAGAAGTCCACTGCAGAAGTTGTCGCGCTCGAGATAGAGTCGTGTCCGCAGTGGTCATCCTGGTCGGTATGGCCTACCTCGTTCTAATCAACGAATGCTTTCGATCGTTCGGGGCGCAGTGTGCAAACCAGCGCTGTACTCCACATATTCCTCATAAAGGCTGCCGACGCAGGTAGCATCTTAACGTGGTCCACTCAGTAAAACTGAAGTGGCCCGAGTGGTCACCACATTCAGCGCCTTCCACAGGAGCAAGGAAAGCTCAGAATCTTCAGCCATTTGGTCTATTGCATCTCCTTTGGAACTGTCGTCATCGAATGTCACGGAGGACCCTTGGGCACCCATACATGCACAAACTGATCACAATGCCCCGACACTTGCAATACAGCTAATTGCGCTCCAACGGCATGCAATGATTCCCTTGACCCTCAGGACGTGATCTGGTCTGGCACGTTTTGCTCGCCGTGATGAAGCGATGCTCACGCCGCCGGCGTCTCACCTCGACGTTTCGCGGAGAAATCACACTATTTCACGTCTTCCTGCCCCTTGCACGGACGGAAAAATGTCCCCAGTGGTACTTCAGAAATATCTTGAAATTTGTATTAGGAATAAAATTAGCCTCAATGAGAATTAACAGTATTTTTATTCAAGCTGTTTTTGAATTGAAGAGCAATATCAACGATGACTGGTA